AACGAATGGAAAACGGCCGTTTACTTTGATGTACGGTAGTCGTGGTGGTCGTAAACGGCTGTATATGTTAAGATACGGCGATTCTCGTTGTCGTAAACTGTCGTTTCGTTCAAAATACGACTGTGTCACGGCACTGTTTTTAACGTTTACGGTAGTTGGGGTCCACTGTTTTCGGTAGGTGGGTTTCACCGTTTACGTCACGGTGGGTTACGGCCGTAATACGGGGCATACCAAACGGGTTATTTACGGCCCGTATACGGTCGTAATTCTGACGGTTACGGCCGTTTGCGGTATCGTGCACGGCTGTTTACGGCCACTGTAATGTTCGTCCTGGGATATCGATGGATTTGTACCCGTCTTGAGTGTGTGTGGCGGATGCATAGGCAATTCAAGTATAGCAGCTGTACAAGTCGAGTCAATATTGAATTGATTCAGATACTTTATCATGCTGATATCCATACAGTAAATTGCCGATTCAACAGTTTTCGCTAAAATTTATTACACAGTTAAAACTTAAAATTAAGTTTTAATATTACCTGATATTTTAATAATCGTATTGTTACCTGGTGGATATAGATTTTGAATAAAATCAACAATTTGACAATAAATTTCAAAAGAAATTGTTCCAAATGTGTTAAAATCGTGAGAATTGATGAATTGGTTCAATAAATCCATTGTTAACTCAATATGACTTAATTCAGCAGTAACACATGCAGTTTGATCAATTGATTTTGCCAAACGACTAGAAAACCAAGTATCAATTTGGTCTCATCTTGCTCCTATTATACAATTATATGAATTTTTTATGTAATAACTACGTACAAAAAAGACAGGTTTACATTACTTACGAGCAAGTGCCAACTCGTCCATCTAACTGCACATTTTTTCATTTGCTTCTTTTTCAAATATAAATGTATGGTTTGTTAAAAGTGATGATGCATGGAAATACAACTCTAATCCAATTGAATTTGGGGAAATATTAGCCAAACGAGTGGCATTGAGTTTTGTGCACGCCATCAAAGCCTTCCATTGAAATCTTTCGACCATTGCATCTGCAACATTTGTTGTTTTGGGTTTTTAGCGAAGAATCTCAATAACAACACTCTATAGAAGAAATATCTATTGATATAACAAATAGAAAGATAAAATTTTTCTATACTTACACCATTACTAGCTGCAAGAAATGTAATATGAGGTTTTGATATAGAACATGACCATCAGCTCTTGTTTTACGATATGAATCAACACCTGTATGCATCGTTTTGAGCAGACTATAGGACTTGCTCTAAAATGTATAATAAGAAAAAAAATGATAAATAGCATCAATAAATAGCAACTTACAATGAATTAGATCCAGCTTTAGAATCAATACTAAAAATATTTGATTTTTGGTACCATCCAATTCATCGATTAAAATGAATACATTGCCAGTATCACTTAGTGATTTAAAAATGCCTGCTCCTGTAAACTAAAATTATGAACAATCTTTCAATTGGCTTTTACGTATGCTACAAAAAGAGAAGAAAGGCACATGGTAACTTACATCATTTGTAATCATATGTCGGGAGTATTGATCTTTCTGTGTTTTGCCAGCTTTTTTCTTTGTTAGTTTTTCTTCATCAAGAGCATGATGAAGTAATTTATCGGTCGTTTTTAGCACATTTCGCTGCTTCCCAAATTCTTCTCGTTTCGTAGCTGCTTGAGATAATTTGTTAAATATTGTTGATTTTTCAGTACCTGAAAATAATATGACATTAAAAATTAACATTTGTTTTCAAATGAGTATTATTTATTACCAATTGTTGTGATAATTAGTGTATAATCGACAACATGTTTTCCTCTATTCTCATCGTTGCCAATTCGAACTTTAGCAGTATCCAGACGAAAAGCAGTTGTTGTACGTAGAGTGAGAGATATCATTTATTCATCAAGTAATAACGAGTCAGCATTTGTTCGAATCATCTTACATGTATCATCTGAACTCAGAAAGAAAACAGGTGTCATACTGAACTTTTTAGGGTTCTAGATTTGGGTACCATTTTCAGAACCATCTAAGGTTCAAACAAAATCTGGTTCTAGCTGGAGCTTTTTCCTATTTCTTCCAAAAATGGTTCCATAGTAGTAAAATGTAGTCCATCACACTCAATTAGTCTAGTACTCTAGACTAATGTTTTATCCAACAATTAATTTCATTTTTAATCCCTTATTCCTAATCTTAACACCAATTCAAAGCTTAACCCTTATTTCTATGTGTTATATTTACCTAGATCTGTTGTGAGTAGAATACGAGCTAGCACTTTGTCCGTTATTCGTACGAAAGCGGCATCGCCGTTAATTGTTGTTGTTGAGACCATCCTAAACAAAACAAAAAAGAACAGTGACTTATATTGTAAGATTCAACTTACCATTAAATGAATTATTCCCATATACCTAAAATATTAAAAGAAACACCGATTCATTTTATCATATTAAACTTGCATTTGAATTGATTATTCATATATACGTAACTACAGAAAATCTTGAATTGATGTTATCAGATTGGCATTATACCTGTCTATTCATATATGTGGCATATCGAAAAAGATAAAAGAACAATCACACTTGAAAAGATGCCACTGATTATTGAATTGATTTTGGAGACACAACTACCCAGGTCTACCATTCAACTATCGCATCTCTGGCATCAAAAAATGATGACGGATTCGGATTCCTCGATCTCAATAACCCATTTGAAACTTTGATCAGAATTGAGATCGGAGTTGAAATACAAAGTCTAATTTTACAGCC